ACCATCTTCCCAAGCCCAGTTACATTCCAAAATGTGGTTTTCTGAACAGAGAATGAGTGTACTCTTCAAAACATCACTTTCTCATGAAGCAGCTTAGAAAAGAAAGAATCATAGCAACAGATTTCATGCTAAGAAACTCTGTGTATATCCTGTAATGAGGGATATGACACGGATACATGACTCAGCCACAGCCCATCACTCTGATTAACCCATTTCCAGACTCCGACCTTGACCCAGGACACCATTTTATCTTCCATTTTTGTAGCACTAGATTGCACCTTGCACCCTCTTGCTTGATTCTACTGTAACTTCCATCTTTTAATTTTCCTTCTTACCTCCTGCCCAAGCCGTCTGCATTTCGTCCTGATGCCAGTGACAGAACAATTATCAAGGACTCTCATTTTCTATCATCACTCTCTATTTTCTTCACCTAAAATGTCTGTTTGTAGAGTCTTGTTCAAACATTTTCTACATATTTTATTTCATCTTATCTTCAAAATGTTGCAAATTGGGTAGGATGAAAACAAAAATTATGCCTTACAAACCATACTCTGAGTATCACATAGCTTAAGTGACCTGATTGCCTGAATTTCCAAAACTCATCAGAATGGAGATTAAAACTTGAGAGTTCTTAGTTCAGTATCTCATGAGGCAGAACTGCATAATAGAAAGCATGGGCTTCTAGACAAGTATTTCTGAGATCGGAATCCCAGTCCCACTGCTAATTATAAGCTGTGATCTCCTGGATTAGTTACTTAACCTCTCTGAGTTACATTGTGAAAATCTAAGAAAGATTTCAGCAAATGAATAGAGAATATGCCTAGAAAGAAATGGAAATACATCTAGTTTTAGTTCATTATTTGGATTTGGATGGGTATCCTAAATCCAGGCTCTCAGAGAGAATAAAAGCAATTATAACAAGGCAAAATAAAACAGTTTCTTTCTACTCAGGTGGGGAACTGCCAAAAAGCACCTCGTACATTTTTTAAAAATTCTTCATTATGACTGTAAAGTCTTCTGTTACAAGCACTCTTTAGTTCTTTTATAGTTACAGCTTTCCCTTAGGTGAATATGTCATTTTTGACCATGGCAAGTTTTGTACTCTAATAAGCCTCAGTTTCTATGGTGGGACAAGACCAGGACCCCAGCCCCAAAACTCAAAGCCCTTTTCCAGACTTTTGGTTGTTTCCCAATTGAGAACCGTCCCCACTGCTGTCTGTTGATTCTCACTCTTTTCCTCATCTCACTTCTCCAAACAGCTCCACATAATCTGCTTACGCTGTGGAGGGCTACACTGGACACTTCATGGCCACTTGCTATGTACTGTCTCAGCATTTAAACCTTAGTGACCCAATAACAGCTCCATATTATCCCCACTATGTGGCCAGTAGACCAAGACTGTAAGTAAAGAGTTGGTGGCCAGGATAGAGCTCCACGATCTAGGAAGTGATGGTTGAAACCAGCTCTCCCTGTAAATTTGGAGCCCTTAGATTTCCAGTCTCTCCTACACTGCTTTCTGCATAGTACAATGTATATTTCTTCATCAAGAAGGAACAGCACCAATTAATGTGTTCACCGATTAATTAGCATATGCAAAAATGTGAACACATGCTATGTGTCCAGATGCTAAAGGGCTGAATTGCACCTCTATCACTTCATCAAGTCTTTTACAATAGTGCTGTCTTTTCTACATTAAAAAGTGAAATTTTGTCCCTGTAATGCAATCTGTGGTAAGAGCATTTAATAAGTGGGTTTTATTCTTAAAAAGCAACAAAAAATTTTAATGAAGTGGCAATTACCTGTCTCTTAAAATGAGGAAGTGAAATGGAAGATTTATTTATCACCCTTCAGGTAGTCACTGTAAGTCTCAAACACAGTCAAGCTGTCTGTCGTTTCAAATGTTTGTCCTATTGATGCATTGTTGATTAATAGCTGCCTGCATGCCCCCATTCTATGTTTACAAATTATGATCATGGTATATAAAAATACATTTCTATTTTTTAAAAAGAGAGCAAAAAAATTGGCCTTAGCTTTTGAAGTGGTTTAGTTTTGAAACTTATTCCAAAGCCTTCTCCACGATCTGGGAGACTTCTCACCCCACCCCCAGCACTGAGGATTAAACCTAGAGCCTCACACATTGTTGGCAAGGGCTCTCATACTGACTTACGCCCCCAGAACTCATTAAAATTTGTTATTTTGAGGCAAGCTCTTTGTAAGTTGCCCAGGCAGGCCCTGAATTTGCAAACTTCCCGTCTCAGCCTTCAAAATAGCTGGAATTATAGGCCTGGGCCACCATGCCTGGCTGAGGGGCTCTTCTTTGGCCTTCATGCAAATTCTTTGACTCTGTAAATGCTCTTCTGTGCAGCTCCTGGGAAGGCTGGCGCTGAGCCCTCCTGGAGCCAGTACCTAGGGCTCCTGCTCTATTCTCCTCTCCATACAGACATCCAACTTTCTGGCTGTTAAGACTTCCTGCTTCTTTTTTCCTCTTGCTGCCTACTGTTTAGAAATTCTTCTCATTGGATCTAAAGCCATTTAAATATTATATAGATCATTTTATTTTAAGAAATTATCCAAAAATCATTGTCGATATCCTCTCGTTAATGGAGACAGAAAAAGACAACGTGAAATCAAGAATGCAGTAGCACTGAGGAGAGGAAGAAGGAAAAGGTGACTGAAGTGATTTGCTCCTAGTGGTGACACCCTCCTGGGGGCCTTCTGTGGGACTGTGCTACACCTCAGCACTGTGCCATGTCACATTCCTATCCCTTCCCTCCTGCAGTGAGATTCCTATACTGCCTGATTATGAATCCATTTCCAATCACATGGCATGCCCACAATGTCACATCACAAGGGAGAAAGGAGAGGTGGAAAACTTGATGAGACCTGGTGAATTTAGATCTCATTGCCTTAAGGAGCTATAAAGTACATGGCTTTTGCAGTTAGCAGCAAATGTTAAAAGGGAGGCTGCCACTTTTAATATATCACTTTGGATGCGTTATTTTACCTGTCAGACCCTCAGTTTCCTCAGCTGTAACAGACGGATTAAATAATTTTTAGTTCAAGAAATGACCCAGCCTGGTGAACACAATGCACCTAAATCACACCAGAGAACAACAGTCCAAGCTCTGCACATGGGCTGCATTTTAGCTCCTATTTTTATATTATTGTTACAAATTTGTAAAAGATACCAGAGAGATACATTCAACCAGCTTAGGCATAATCTTTTCTACTGGGAGGAAATAAAACAGATTGTACAATAGCCCATATTTTAAAAACTCATTTTTGCCTCTAGTACTCTCAAAAGAAGTATGCACTTATTTAGATTTTAATGTTTGACTCTTATCTATACCAACATTATTTCAATGCAACATTATGTTGGCAAAATCCCACTATTAAAATAAAGTATTATTTACTAAGGACAACAATATTTTCAAGCAATATCTACCTGAAGCAAAAATTGCATGAGTTTTGCCTCAGTTAGTATATTTTCCATTTAGAGTTTATCCCTATTCCCATTGCATGGGCTACTTGTCCTGTCCCATGTCCTCCAATGCCCGTATCCATGCTTATATGAACGGAAGATTATTTTTCTTATATGACCCTAAAGTTTCTGCATTGCATGCTTTAAAAAAAATTGATTTATTGGTACACTTTTGACATACACAATACCACATACATCACAGGGAATTTGTTCCCGTACATAATGTATCTTAATGTTTTTCCCATTCCTCTTCCTTCCCTTCAGTCCTTCATACTTTGATCTTGATTATTCCTAGACTGAATGCAGAAAAGCTGAAGACAAGGGTATCATCTCTGCCTGTCGCCAACAGATGGCGACAGTGGACACACAAGGCTATTTTGGTCTCTGCCAAGCTGCTGCTGTGGTGGTTCTTGAGTGGACACTTGTGGTATCTGTACTGGTTTTGAAATGTCTAGGAACATTATTAACCCCACAGCATGACTTTTAAGTGCAAACCTAAAGGCAGTTTTGAAATCAGTAATAAGAAGTTTGAGATGCCAATGCTAAGTAGGGACAATTTTAAAAATACAAAATGATACAGAGCGAAAAAATGTGGCACTGGTGGTGAAATGAATCATTTTAAGATATAAATGGCCGCTAAGGACAATCCATTTGCGAGAAGTGCTGTATCCATTAATCAATCAAGCAAGGATAAACAATGAATGACTAAAAATGTCCAAACAAAATAATACACTTTCTCAGTAGTCAGAGACTAAGCACCAATTTCAGGTGATAATTAGTTAGACAATCTAATTTTAAGGTAAGAAAGACCAAGATTTATTTGGGGCTTTAAAGCAATGATTCTTAACCCTTACTGCATGCTAGGATCACCTAGGAAGCTTTTCAGAACCCTGAAAAGCCAGGCCAATAACCACAGTCTCTGGGAGTAAGAAACAGACATCAGGAGTATGGAAAGCTCTTCAAGTGATTCCAATTTGCCACCAATGTTGAGGACAACTGCCTTCAGATCTAAGAATGAGGAAACGTGGCTGTGATAGCTGTAGGGATTCAAATGCATTTCATTGTACAGAGCAGTGCAAGCCACGAATATGGATACTGTCCCTTCGCTATGACATTTGCGTCTTTATGAAGTGCAGTTACCTGCCTTTCTATTTTCATAAAACCATTATGGTGAGGAAGAAATACTACTAAGAAAAAATCAGCAAGCCTTATTTTAAAATTGTGAAGTAGCTATTCAGACGCCTACCTGAAGAAAATACATCAGAACCACAAGCGTCAACATCTTGTAGTCACTTCAGCAAGTCCATTTACAAACAAGCAGAAACACAACCGGTTCTAAACTATAGAAGCCTCTGTACACCAGCATCCTTCTCCGGCTTTCATCTCAAAACACTCATTCAATGCATCCCAGTTAATCTCTATTTATAACAGCGCACTTTTGCCCTAAAATAAATGTACCATTTGATTCCCCACAACTTCCTCACCCCCCCCAGCTCTTCTTGCTGCAGCCCCCTTTTACCTTATCTGCCATTATCATGGAGGAGCCCCCATGGATTCCCAGGATGGGGGTGAGAGTCTGAGCCGAAATGAAATCGAGGATCTGGGCGATGGCTTCCTGGTCTGTATCATCAGCAAACACCACACCCTGGATCTTCCGGTCAGACATGAGATCACAGATGCGGGTGATGATACTCTTTGGGTCAGTCTCATTCATGGCTACCAGTTCCACTCGGGGCACCACAGAGAGATGGTGGAAATCATCTTTCTCGTGGGCATCCTTGATGGCCACCTCGTCGGAAGTGCCCACGAGGATGACAGCAATGCCAATGCTCGGGGGGCTCTTCTGAGAACGGGCTCTGCTGCCAGACACGACCAGGACGGCCAACACCAACCAGAACTTGGGAGAACAGCACTCTGCTCTGGGCTTCATCTTTAACTTGTCGACTCCCTGAAAAGACAAAGGGAGAGGTTGGTTAAAACATGACCTACACTACATAACCTGGCTTTGAAGAGCTTGAACACTGCAATTCACGAGCCTTATCTTCTTCTCCTGATTATTAACCCACTTTCATCAATTAGCCCAGTCTCTAATCTCTGTCTGCTCTTTGCTCAGAAGAATGAGAGAAAAGGAAACTTTCAAAAGCCTCAGACACCTTTGAGCAAGACAATAAAAGATGCTATTGCAACGGCCATCAGCAGAGGATGCAGGTAAATCAGGTGCTCGTGCCAAGTGCACACACGTGGAAATCTGCAGGAGGGGTCTTGCTGTCGCTGATGACCCTGGCAGGACAGTTGGACCCCATCCTCCAACTGCTCCTGGTCAAGTCAGCCGCAAAACAAGCTCAGCCGAGGCCAGCAGCAAAACATGGCCCGGATAAGCCGCACACAGGGAGCGTCGTCGAGATGCAGAAGCCTGCAAGTTCTTGCAGCTTTTCCCTTGTTTGCCTCTCAAAGGACAAGAGCTAGCAAAAGCTTTAGCAATCCCTTTAGTGTCTGGTCCCTAAAACTAAATCACAAGAACTGCTGATATATGGGCAGTATTTTCAAGTCATCCTTACAATTGATTCATGCAAAAACCTAGGGGGGAAAAAGTCAGAATGTATTGTCCCCATTTTATAGATGTTGATGCCAACCTTCAAAGAAGGTTATTGACCTGTGCAAGACCGGAAGCAAATTAAGCAAACCAAACTTGAACCTAGAGCTTTTGACTTTTGTATTGTGATTTGTATTCCATTGCATTATATCACACTGCCTTTTATATCATCAATTACTATATTACAAGGAAAAGTATTATTATGATCTCTTTTGCATCAAAATATAACTTAGACAAATACTATTAATAGATGAAGTAATGTTGGAACAACCTTTGAAAAAGATTTCTATTTTTTCTAATGGGATCTCCTAACAGTGACTTCTCTGAAATGACTGAGTATATTCTTGCATACACCGTACCACCCTTACCCTACAAAGAATTCCTCTTTTTGACTTTCACACATGATCCTAAATCTTACACTATGCAGCAGACTAAAAACAGAGTTCTGCAGACTTTAAGTACTGGTCATTTCTCTTTATGTTTCTCATAATTCTCCAAAAGTCAGTCTTATTTTAACAGAACGAGTCCTACTTGCTTTGTTTTAAATAGTCATTGTGGTGTATCTGTCATGAGATACTGTATCAGGTACCTCTTATATGCAATCTCTTTCGTCTTTATGGGAACCCTATAAATTAGACCTTTTATTCCCATTTCTCAAGGGAAGAAACTGAAGTTCAAAACAAGTATGTAATTGTTCAAGGTCAGAATGCCAATGTAGAAATAAAACATTCTTATACACCAAGGAAGTATGCTATAAACTGTATTCAGAACCAGAATCAGGGATTTTTCTTTGACATGACAGAGAGCAGACATCAGGGATGAAGGTGCTCCTTAATAAAGTCCTGTTTGTTTGAAAAATAAAAAAGTGAATTATTAGGAGAATGAAAATTTTGAGAGTTTGATGAAAAGAAAAAATGAAAACGAAGGTGTTAAATAAGGCTGAGGACACCGACCACAAAGGACATTAATAATTTGGGAGTAAGATGATGGGGACATTTTGTGGCTGAGGAAGCACAAAATCCAATCCAGCTCTTAGCAAAAAACATTTTGGAACCCTTCATGTTGTAGTCATCCTTCACCACTGCCAAGAAGGAGACCTGTATCGATTGCTTCGGCTGGCTTTTGAGAACAGGCAGACCGGTGGCTCAGTGGTGCACGCCTGAGCAAAGCTGACCCCTGTCAGTTTCCGAGTCCCTACTTCAGTATGGAAAAAGTAAATAACTCCATGAGTCCTTAAAATTCAGGCTGATGGGCTACATAGCGTAAGTAGAAACAAGACCTAAATTCATCCCCCCAGAGTTTAAAGAAAAGCAACAGTATGGAATTGAGCAGAGTGAATATTCAGAGGAAAAGAGTTAGATTTAGCACCTCAAAGAACTGTTATATATATTCTGTTCAACTCCGAGAACTGGAGACTGGTTCTCCAAGAGAACCAAAAGATTTAGAATTTGGCAAAACTAGCAGCTAGCTTCATTTCAGCAGGATTCTAATCCTATAGCTACAAGTCCCTAAATTAGATTTCTTCACATTTAAAAGTGGTCCTGTCTGCCATGACAGTTTATTAACTTTAATGCACTCTACACTCTCCCACTTTGAGATTTTATTTGCTCCCTTAAAATATCTATTGTACATCTCTATTGCTTCTCACACAATATATTGCACTTTGTTATGCAATGGCTAGTGTGACACTCAAAGAATAAACTCTGGTTTTACGGAACATCTCTTTTATACTCAGGATGGAGCAAAGCATTTTACAGAGCAATACATTATGGGAGATACCAGTAACAGAGGGACTGTGAGACAAACAAAGAGGCTGCTTTGAATACAAACTCAATTTCAGACATTAGAAAAGGGGTGGTTGAGAGAAACCATGTCCAAGGTAAGCCAAGTAGTGTTGCTCGCTTCCTCAGATGGACCACAACAAGTCATAATGTACCTGCTCTATGAAGCTGCGGCCCCTCTTCTTCAATGCATTGTACCTCCTTCAGTAGAGTTGAACACTGCTTCGTTTGAGCTCACACAAAAGCCTGCACATGTCTATCTAACTAATAGTACCGGTATACCACAAGATTATGGGTCTGCCGGTGTTAAATGGCTGATCAACTCCTTGTGGGAAGTTTATTAGAATTACACAATCGTGTGTCTGTCTATCTTAACTGTCAGTAACTTCTCATTAAGAAGCAAGCACCTCCTTAATTCAGAAAGCATTTATTTATGATGCACCTTCACGGCATTGTTTTTAGTCCTGAAAATGCAACATATACAGACATTATCCTGCAGGACTATGGTTTTTCAGAAGGTGCAGGCATATAGGGAATATCCTATCTCATTTCTGGTCACATGCTTGAGTCCCAATAGTACCTCATATATAATAAATAGATAATTGCTCAGACTGAGGGATACTCAGACTAAGTTTCTACAACTAGATTAGACCATATATTAAACTGCTGATACTGGGCCACTTTTATATATAATAGTTTAACCTACTGTGTGTTAGGTGCTATTATTTCTAAGCAATTTTCTTTCATTGTTTGGTCTCCATTAAAATATCACAAATCACAATTTTTCCCTATGTTACAAATGGGGAAACTGATCTGAGAGGTTAAGTAGACAACCAAGATAGGGAACAAATAAAATATTACATTGTTTCAAATCCAAACTTGTCTGACTTCACAGTTTTTTCTTTTTCCACTATGGGACTACTTTTCAGTATGAGTAGATAAATGAATTAACAGATAATGAATGAATGAAATCACCAGCCTGAGCTTTCATCCAGGCCCACATTAGCAAAGTACCTGAGGATGGGCAAGTCACCTAATTACTAACTCTATTTCGTCATTGGTAAAATCAGGATAATAGACCTAACCTACATAAATGAAAGGTTTTATGAAGATCAAATGGTAATATGTATATGGAAGTACTTTGAAGGATATAAAATACTCTACAGAAGCAAAGGATGTTACCTTTAAGCTTTTAGAAGCTTTTCTAGCTATTTATGAAAGCACAAAGTGAGCATGTGGGAGGCGGGAGTGAAAGAATGTCAGACAGCGACTGAGAGGAAGGTAAAGAGGAACCTCACAGGGGGCAAGAGCTATTAGTTCCCTCAGTGATAGAACTTCTTGAAAAAGATGTCACATCATGGCCTTGGGGTAACAGCAGACTCCACTGACAGCTCACCAGACTTGCAGCAGAATGCAAGAGTGATTCAGGCCAGGGTCAGTACTGGGAATCAGTGAGCTGAGCCTCCCAAAAATAATGCTGTGAATTCAGGCATCTAGATGCAAAAAAATAGAACTTGCAACAGGGCAGCAGGATTAGATTGACGACTGCTCATCTGTTTGATCATCTGCTTCCTTTAAGCTTGGACTCAGTGAACCTGGATCTCCAGCAAGCAGAAGACCACAGCTGCCCATCTTCATGCCTTTAGCTGGTCCAGACTAACTACAGCAGGAAACACTGTACACGTGGCTCATAGTGGACACCAAGGGACATATATCAGGGTGAGAAGCTGGATCCACCCTCTCACCAGAGAAAACCCAGTCCTGGGACAACCCTAACAGGAAGAGTAAAACGTGATGTATTGAATAATTTTAAATCACAATTCCAAAATACCCTCATTTAATGAGTCAGACACCATCCAGTTAAGGACAGTGTGGTTGCAATACGACAAACAGGAAAATTAGGATTAAAAGTGCCAAAATATACTTCAGGTCCATTTCAGGCACAATTTCAAAAACTACAAGGAACGCAGGCCTTAAAATGTGTCACATTAAGAGAGTATGGAGAACCAAAGAATTTCAGGTAGTGTAAGTCAAGTGAAGTATGTGAGTGTAACCTTTGTGGAGGTCAGTGTGAGAATATCTATCAAAATTTTAATAAGGACAAAGTAAAATTCAAAAGTAAAAATATCAAAATGGACAGTGAGGGTCATCACATACTGATACCAAGAAGCTATAATGAATATGACCAAATCTGAAGCTAAAAATGTAGACTTGACATGTTGAAGGCAATAATTAAAATTTCCATCATTGGGTAGGGAGGATAAAGACAGCAGATAAAAGATCTAATTAACAAAGACATAAAGGATTCTATAGTAAAACATGAGCTATAAGATTGAACCAATTCAGAAATATATATATTACAGAGAACGCACATTCTAAGCAGATGAAAAATATTAATTGCATCAATAATTTCTAAAAATCAAAATGACATCATTTCCCAGTAACAGGCTTAAATTAGAAATAAGTTCTTAAAAGTAACTTTAAAATATCACATTTCTATTTGAGTACTTTCATTCCCTTTCATTATTATAATATCTATTGTACATTTTGGATCTTATTACTCTTTCAGTTTTT